TATTCCAAATGAAATTGCAATTAAAATCCAAACAGCATCATGAAAGTAGTTTCTGAAATAGGAAGGGCGTATTAACTCATGGAAGCTGGAAAATGAGTTTTTATTAATATTCTTGTATTTCCTGCTATTTCTCTCACTGGTATACCCTTCTTACAGTCAGTCTAGCAGTTGCAGTTCATCATTTAGAGTGCTCTCTTACACCTTTCCCCATAAACAATTCCATCTGTTCCCGGGTTCTAGTATGTTAACTTTTATATTATTCTGGGTTTTTTTTCCCAAAAAATGCTCCAGTTGCTCAGAAGTTTAAACATTCCATAAAACCATGAGCAACTGTGCCAATTACTGGAATGGTTTGTTTCAATATGCTGAAGTCAAAGCTCTTATATTGAGTAGTTACAAAGCTCTCAAAGATTGTGTCTTCCCTTTACCTGGGAAGGATGTCACTCTTATACACAGTTTATCTGTTGTGTTGGGCAGACAAGCAACACCTCTGATTTTGTACACTACATTTTTTGAGCATCAGTTGTCATTATGCCATTATAAAAAGTATATTATCCAAATCTGATTTTAAACTTGTTGGCCATAATCCTGTTGCATGGCACAGTAAATCACACTAGAGTCATTGAATCAATGGGGATTTTGTGACTAAGCTCCTCCATAAGTTCCAGTGATTCAAATAGGCCTACTCTATGACTCTCTTTAGCTGACCAGTGAGAGGAGCTGTTCGGACTTGTCTTCTGTCCTCTGGACACTCATGGTGCTAAATGTTCTGTATTTTTCTAATGCAAACATTTCTGTTCTGAACATTTGATGTGTCATCTTAAGTATAATACAAACTGTGACTGATGTCACTAGTCCCCTGTACTTCATACAGTTTTGTTACAGATGAGCGTGTTTTCACCTGTGCAGTTCAGTCAGGGCTTCATTTCCATTAGACAGCTGAAAACGTAGTGCTCTAACCCTTTATTTTTAAGAACCCAGAGTGCTTGTGGTTTAAGGTTTGGTTTTAAAAAAACCAAAAAACAAGCAGATTGTACCAGACACTTTCTCCGTTTCTCTATTTTGGTTAACAAGAGCATCTAAACCTTTCAGTGAAGCAATGAAGATAAGGTAGTTGTGTGTGTATTAACAGAGGGAAGACTCACTGTCACATGCAGATGCACATGTGCCTTTAGAAAAAGAAAAGAGGATGGTTTCCATGTTTCTATTGGCTTATGCACCTCTGTGGCTTAGTGGCATGTCATGTGAAAAACCACATACCTCAGCCTAACTGAAAAGGCAAGCACCTTGGAAAAGGAGCAGTTGTAAACAGAATGCTATGACGCACATCCTTTTTTGAGAAAGGGAAGAAACCCTTTGACTAATACAGACTTACATGTAACATTTTAGCTCTTAGTGTGTTACCATAATGAGCATCTGATATAGATATGGTATTGTTGACTAATTTCTTAACATTCCTTTTTTGTGTTAAACCTCAAGCCTACTATATCTGTTTAGATGTATATTAACTATTTTATAAACATCCTCTGTTATCATGGAAGAAAATCAGAGATACCTTTATTTTATACAGCTATTTCTGTTAAGGAAACAATTGCCAAAGAATTGTATCTACTAGTCCTTTGTGTTTTTTGGGGGGTTGGGTTGGGTTTGCTTGTTGTTTTTCTTGACAATATTTGATCTTCTAGACTGTATTCATAAAACATTTGTTCACAGTCTGTTACAGAGTTGATACAGTTTTCATTCTAATCCCAAATTCACAGACCACCCTCCCTCTCCTGAACCTTGGAGGCTTATACCAGAACAGGTCAGGGTAGTTGCAAAAATGACAAAATTACTCTTCTGTACTTTCTGGAGAAGTACCAGGGGGTGCTGATAAGTATTAAGACTTACCCAGAAAAAAGTGAGCTAGGAAACTATAAATCGCAGAATATATTGGCCAATTCGTCTATATTCAACAGTGCAAAACCAACTACTGTACCTATGATTTTAACTTAACTTTTATTTTCCGGTCCAAAAAGTTCAGTGTGGAAGAGCATAGGACCAGAATCCAGTTCCTGCTTCTTCAAGGCAAAGGTGCAAAGCAGATCCATGATGAAATGTCACAAAGTATGGGTGACAGTGGTCCTTCATATGCAACAGTTAAACGTTGGGTTGCCGATTTTAAAACTGGCCATTTCAGTGTTGAAAGTGAGAAACCCCGTGGAAGGCCTGTTTCTGTCTCTGTGCCTGCAAATGTGAAAGCCATCCATGACATGATCATGGAGGACCGCTGAATATCAGCCAAAAGTATTGCTATATATCTGAGAATATCATGTGAGAGGGTTGATGCCATTAACCACAACCACTTGGAAATGAGAAAGCTGACAGCAAAGTGAATCCCCAAACTTTTGACAACCGAACAAAAGAGGAAACGTCTGGAGTCATTGGTAGCTGTTTTGGAACATTTTGCAAGAAATGAGTCAGATTTCCTGGGCAAACTGGTAACTGGTGATGAGACATGGATCTACTGTTATGGTCCTGAGACAAAGGAACAGTTTAAGGAATGGAGGCACAGTGGTTCCCCCAGGCCAAAGAAGTTCTAAGTGCAAAGGTCGGTGCAGAAGCAAATCGCAACATTTTTTGGGATAAGAAGGGAGTTCTGCTGGTGGACTACCTCAAACAGGGTTCAACCATCAATGCAAAATATTACTTTGCTTTATTGATGAAGTTGAGGCAAAACATTGAGGAAAAATGTTGAGGAAAGCTCTCCAAAGGTGTCATCCTGTTGCATGACAACACCTCGTCACACACTGCAGGTGAAACAATGTCAGGCTTTGAAGTGATGTCCCATCCACCTTATTCTCCCAACCTGGCTCCTTCTGACTATTATCTGTTCCCCAAACTCAAAAAAACACCTAAAGGGACAATGATCTGGGAGTGTTCTGGAGACAACTAATGCTGCAGATGAGTGGTTACACCAGCAGTCAGAAGAATTTTATTTGCAGGGACTTAAGAAGCTGCAGGACAGATGTTGCAAGTGCATTGACTTCCTGGGGGAATATGTAGAATAGCATGGCAGTTACAGCTTCCTAGTTCAATTTTTTCTGGGTAAGGCTCAATACTTATCAGCACCCCCTCGTATATAGGTCCTTTTTCATATATTTTTCCTTTGGGAGTATGGAGAGTACACAGGGTTTAGATGTGCTGCATTGGGAGCCATATGCAGCCTGCTAACCACACTTGGATATTCTTTGTCCCTTTTCCATTGTCAGATAAATTGCATTTTAACAGTTTAGACAGTGTTTTTGTCTAGTATACTTTACAAGTTTTTTTCTATGGCTGCAATCTTATTACTTACAAGTTACACCAAATAAGGCTGATGATACCAACAGTAGTTTTAGAGGGTTTTTTTTTCTGAAATTAAACATTTCCAGTTTCTCCTCATTGATGTTCCCATGGAATCCCTTTGATCATTGGGGGCCATGGGACAGGAGAGGGAAGTCTTTAATTACCAAAAACTGCTGCCAACAGTAAACTGATCCTGGCAACAATGATTTCTGGTGATGAGAGATTTTCTCTTCCCATCCTGTAGCCCTCATGTCTTTCTAATAATGAAGGGGATTCTATGAGAGTCTTAGGGACCTTGGGGGAGATGATTACCATATACACTCGAGTATAAGCCAACCCAAATATAAGCTGAGGCACCTAATTTTACCACAAAAAAACGGGAAACTTACTTGAGTATAAGCCAAGGGTGGAAAATGAAGCAGCTACTCTTAAATTTCAAAAATAAAAATAGATACCAATAAAATTACATTAATTGAGGCATTAGTAAGTTAAATGTTTTTGAAGATACTGCCCTTCTGAGCTGCGAGACACACTTCACTGCCTGCGGAGGAAGGACTCATACCCACATGCTGCGCTTATCTACTGCTGTACTGCTGCATAACAAGATGGAGGGAGACAGAGGATGGAGGAGGAAGGGTGGTACATAGAATATGCAGAAGGAGGAGGATGGGAGTGTCCTGGAAGTGGAAATGCAGTGTACTTAACCCAAGTTATTGGACCACCCACAGAGGCTGCAGGCGCCCATAGATGAGCAGGAGAGTCTGGAGAACACCGACACTGCAGGGGAGAACATGTAATTTTGACACTGACTCGAGTATAAGCCGAGGGGGTTGCTTTTTCAGCAAAAAAAATGTGCTGTAAAACTAGGCTTATACTCAAGTATATACAGTAATTTCCAGTCACCACTGCTGGTGATATAATCAGCTTTGTGCAGTAGAACTTATGCAGCAAGACTTCAGCTTGTATCTGTTTTGGATTGGTCCAGTAGTCACTGTGGAACAAATTCAGCTATCTGTGGTAGAATACTGCAATGCTCTTGTGTTGGATGGCATAAAGAACTTGTGATTCCCTATGCTGTTGGATTGCATCTCCTGCCAGCATAGCAAAAGGTGAGGGATGATGGAGCCTTACTTGAACAGTGTCTGGAGGGCCTCACACTCCTCATTTCTGTTAAACTTTACAGCATACTTAAGTTCTGTACCTAAATATCTCTGCTGTGTAACGAATTCACATAACTGATCCCTTTGCACCAACTGTTGCAGAACTTCATTTGCTACTTTTGTTGATAGTTATGCATAAACCCTATCTGAAAGCTTCTATTTGCCTTGATTCAAGGGCCTTTGAGAGAATATGTGAGCAATTTCCATTATCCTGATAGAAGCAAATGGTATGCTGCTAGTGAAAATAGGCTCTCTTGCTAACCCAGTGGGTGGGAGCCCCCGACTGAAGTGCTAGAGCTTCCAGGAGAGGAGTCAATTTCTGTGGCCTTAGACAAGCTGTGTGGTCCAAGAGCGGCACCAGAGGAAGCAATTGGTAAACCACCTTTGAATACTTTTTATCTAGAAAAACCTTGTGGGGGTACTGTGAGTCAGAATTCACTTGATGTGTGTGTCCTTATGTGAAAGACAGAAAAAAGGAATCACTAATGTAAGTGTAACATCTTCACTTTACAGACTTCCACTAGCCAAGCTATCTTTCGCCTCCAGTCTGGCATCTGTCAGCTTTTTCGAGAAACTCTGATTCACAAGGGGTTTGTGGAAATTCAGACTCCAAAGATCATTTCTGGTATGTATTCGCTGGTGTGTGTATTGGAGAAGAAAAGATTGTCAAGTATTCCTTTCAAGCTAGTGTAACACCAGGTGATTTAGTACATTGGTTCCCAACCTTGAGTAAAACAGGCGTTCTTGGACTGCCATTCCCAGAAGCCTACACCACTAGTGGACCTGGCTGGGGATGGAAGACTTTGTAGTGAAGGCTTCTCGGAATGGCAGTCGAAGAACACCTTGGGTTTCTCAAGGTTGGGATCCACAGATTTAGGGGATCAGTGCTCTTATCTGAAGTACTCTGGTGGTAGAAACAAACTGCATCTACTCAGGTTTATCACTTTGATTCTTTTATTGTCATTTTCATTTTTAAATAAAGGACTGTAATAAATAAGCCATGAATCAAGCCATGCTGTGCAGTTTCAGTAGTGGCTGGCAATGTGTAACTGATGTGCCAAGTTTCCTGTAGACAGGCAGGCTTGGCTACTTGTCCTGTCTTATTGTCACTGGCCTCCTGAAAGGAAATGAAAATGGTATTAAACACTCATGTGATCGCTGCAGTCCTGCCATTCTCCTGTAAAATCTCATGGGCAAGTATCCTGAATTTTGCCACGGTGCTTCTCTATTGGAGCAGGGATTGGAGCTGTCTGGAGCTTTATGTGGTTGAGAATTAGAGCTGGAGGACTTTGTGACTGCAGGCTTCTGAAAAAAAAAACACCTTGGCCTGGTGACAGACCCAGAGGGAGAAAGCAGATATGGCATAGATTGTTGCTAGCTTACATATCAGAAGTCTAAATGTGAAATTTTCATTTCTGATTTGTATGAAATCTGAATTTTTTAAAATGGAAGGAATCAAACCACAGAATAATAAAGGCTGTTACTAAGCCTCAGATGAATTCATTTAGAGGGACTGAATACTCTATTCAGAACATACCAGTATGTTTACTCTTGCTTTATAAATGGTTTCTCCTTTGCTTTTCAGCTGCCAGCGAAGGTGGTGCCAATGTATTTACTGTTTCATACTTTAAAAGCAGTGCCTACCTTGCACAGTCCCCACAGCTATACAAGCAGATGTGTATTTGTGCTGACTTTGACAAGGTCTTCTGCATTGGGCCAGGTAAGAAAAGATGTTGTTTTTTTCACCATAGTTACTAATGCAGCTCTTGCATCTCTAGAGCAGGCGTGCACAAAATGTTAGAGCTGTGTGTATGTGTGTGTGCCGAGCTTTGTGTGGCTTTCCCCCCTTTTCTAAACTGGAAGCCAAACAAAAGTTTCAAGCAAAGTCTGCTAATCCATGTGGCAGCTTGACAGGGTTTGCAGGCAGAACAAATGTAATATTCATCTTGAATGAGAACTGTGAATGGAACAATGGTGTTCTCTAGTGGCTGTTGAAGTGTTGTTGTACAGCAGTTTGCTGACACGGACGGGTGATGACTGCAGCTGGAATGGTTAATCTGTCAAGTAACTTAATGCAGGCCTACAAGCTTGGCAGAGCCAGGGGTTTGCTAATATACACTTGCTAGAAATCAATACATCTGAAATTGGATTGTGCAAAATATTCATATGTTCTGGTTTTCAGGATATGTTCAGCGTTGGCAGTGCAAACGCTTCTCTTCCCATCCCAGTAGAAACACATGGGTGATATACTAATAGCTGTGCACGCTGGAGCAGATGCGTCCCTTTTGCACCCTGACACATGATGAAACGCATGAGCCAGGATCTCCATCTTGATGCTAGATCACTTGTCCCACTCACCTTTTATGAGGAAGAAAATTAAATGAATGGATATTGACCAAAAGACTCTGCATTGTAGGTCCTATAGATTAAAGATGAAGTGGAGGTAGTGAGGCAGTGGAAGGAATGGATGATAGGACAAAATGAATAAAGGATTATCTACAACCTTTTTGAGAGATTTGTGGATTGGGCACAATAAATGAATAGTAAATGAATAGTTTTTAATTTGTTAAGTAATCTCAAAGTTAACTTCTAATTTCTGCTTAGTTTCTGCTACATATAGGGCCAAGGAAGGTACCTATGTTAAGATGTTCTCCTAAAACAGGGGTCTCCAAACTTGAGTGTGAGGACCACATCATATATGAGGAGCAAAGGAATGTTCGTGTGCACATATGCATGTGTGCATGGCTGGCGACACCCACCCACTCATGCATGCAAGGAGAAATGCATGCACCCCTGTGCACCTGGACGCCCATTTGCCCACCCACCGCATGTGCAGAGGCTGAAGGGAACAAGCCGGATAAAACAGCAAGGCAGGCCGGATGTGGCCCACGGGTCATAGTTTAGAAACCCCTGCTTAAGAGGGTTCATGGATTGTTCTCAGAGGGTATAACTATTTCAAAAGTACTGGATCAAAACAATGCATGCATGCTGCTCCCCTAACACCCCATCCATCTGTGTCCTTGACACAGCTCCAACCTACATGGAGCATGCAGTCTTTGACAACATGCATAGCTACTGAACGAATCTCTCCTGAGACTTCACTCTTTATTAATAAGTTATGTAGCAGTTTCCTTCTAGACTGTCTCTTCTGACTTCTACATAGTAATTGGCTTGGGTCGTCTTCCATTTAAAACAGAATTTTGAAGCAGGTTATTATGTGAATAATCTATTTTCGTCTTGTTTTATTATTAAATTGTCATTGTATCATTTGCTGCTTTCTCAAATGCTGCTTCACTGGCCATTAGACTATAGCTGTTTAATTGGTGGAACATTTAAGAAATAAGGAAGGCTGGATGTGAAATGTGCGGATGTAATACCACCATGTGATCCATTTGGGTGTTTGAGAGCATACCTTCTAGTGACAGAATAATGTTCGGCTTCGGAAAAGAGTTGCTAATTCACCTATCCACTATAGCAATTTAGTGCTATACTGTGCTTGATCTTAATATTGATAAACTCATTTATTTAAGGAGATTAAGCCTTTTTTTCCCCTCCTCACACAGTATTTAGAGCAGAAGACTCAAACACTCATAGACACCTGACAGAGTTTGTGGGTCTGGATATCGAAATGGCCTTTAATTACCATTATCATGAAGTGGTGGAAGAGATTGCAGACACCATGGTACAAATATTCAAGGGACTCCAAGAAAGGTAAGTAGAAGTGTCTTATGCTGACACAGAAAATGAGGGAAAACAAGGAAGCTACAAAAGTAGTAGTCAAATGTAGCTTATGTACATGAAAGCAAAGGTTTAGCTTCTAGTTATTTTTTGCTCTACACACCATTTTTTGGATACTGTTGCTTCCAGCCACATATATGTTGAGTCACTGTATCAAATGTCAACACTAATATGAAAGAGATGTTGCATCATCTCTTTTGGGACAGAAGAGTAAACGTGTCCTATTTTCAGGTATCAGGTTTATACCTTCAGCTATCAGCTTTCTGTTGTTGTTTTTTTGTTTTTTTTTTGTTTTGTTTTGTTTTTGGTGGAAAAACTGAACAACTCTGATACTGCTGTAATCTGAGATAAAACTTCACGTATGATAGGACAAAATGAATAAAGAATTGTCTCTATTCTTTCTGTACCAGTGAACAAAAAAAAAGATTGGAGTAATACAGTGAAATAGATTTGTGATAGGTTAACCACAAGCACAGAAATGTATTTGTTATTCTAATATGCCTTCTACTTAAGACATTTACAGCAGCTTTAATGCTCCCTGGTTTCCTTGTTGGTTAAGAGCAAGTAGATTTGTGATAGGTTAACCACAAGCACAAAAGTATATTTCTTTCTCTAATTCAGAACCAGTTAATGGAATTCATAGCGGTTGCATGGACCATTGGCATTGATAGGTTTTTAAAAGGATTAAATAAGGTTTTCTCAGCTATAATAACTGGACATTCATTCATTCATTTAAAGCATTTTACTCAATTCTTCAGCAAAAAAAAACACACACACACACACACACACCCCTCCTTGAATGCAAAATGAATAAGACATAATGAAAATGGAAAGGGGATTCAGTGGGAAGATGGGGGTAAAAATAAACAATAGGGAACAATTCTTGGTCAACAAATTCGTTACAAAGTCCTGGTAGGGAAGGACAAGGTTCGCCTCTCCTGTTCCATGGAAGCCTTCCTGTTTGGCTCTCTCACTTGCTCTCTGTGAACTATGTGAATAAATGCAGGATTCATTTTAGTTTGTGTTTGTACTAACTTGGAGAAAATTATCATTTATAATACTTTAGATTTTTAGGATAATGGTTGTAAAGCTTAACTTACCTACTTAGCACATGAGATTGGCTGAAATCCTGTTGCACAGCTTTACATATGCAACAGAGACAACATGATTATCAGAGGCAGTCTGCCACTAATTGAAGACTTCATTTGGTAATTTCAAGGGTGCATGCGACTTTGTCGCATCATGCAGAAGTTGTGTGCATCCTGAAATTGCCAGCAGGAATTTTCTGTCGCTGTTGTTATCATCCCTGCTGCACAGGTAAACAGGTAATTTTTTGAGAAGTAGACTGTCGAAAGTTAATTACATTACCTCATTCCTTCATACAAAAATGCTAAAAAAAAGAGAGAGAGAGAGAGAGAGGCTTTAATGCTGCATGAAGTTAGAGTGGACTCTTGTGGCAAAAGAAGGTAGTGTCTTCCTCTTCTATGGCCTAGCTTTGTTTAAAATGACTGCCTTTTTGTCTACAGGTTTCAAACTGAAATCCAGACAGTGAGCAAACAGTTTCCATGTGAACCATTCAAGTTCTTGGAGCCAACTCTGAGGCTGGAGTACCGAGAAGCGGTGGCGATGCTTCGGGAAGCTGGAGTAGAGATGGGGGATGAAGAAGATCTCAGGTACATTTGTGTTGCCAGGAGAAACTGTTGGCAGAGCAGGTGCAAACACTTCTGCATTCTGGTGGCTTTTAATTATTCCTTGCATTTGCCATAATCTTTACATACACTGCCTCAATTACTGGTTCCTAGCTGTAAGAATTGCCATCCTTGTGCAAATAGGAAAAGAATGGAACAGTTAATTAAATTCCATTTACTTTTCATGATTTTTCTTCAGCTGCTTTGACTGCTGTTTTTTAGTACAAAATGAGAATGTATACTTACCATGAGCTTGTTTCTTATAGATGCATGATACTTCAGGAGTAAACAGATCTGCTAACTCTTTCCCTCCCCAGGGAAATGATACAGCATTATTTCCTGTAATGTAAGAGTTGTTGCAAGTTACAATAGTGTCATTTTTTAAACTGGCTTCCTGTTCAGGGCCATTCCCTCTGGCATGCCATCATCTTCTGGAGGACATTTTCATGACACAGAAAGTAACCTGAGTTGGTAGATGGAAAGGAGTTGGAAAAGGAAGTCAGAAGGATTTAGCAGCACAGAAATTGTGCATGTAAGTGCACAAGTGTGCACTAAACTTAGTCCCTGTTGCTAAAGCCATGTCCTTTTAATATTTTGGCCCTGTAGAGGAAGCAAGTGTTGCTTTCTGCGGACATTTAGACAAACCCACTGCAAGATCCCATTATATTCTTCCCATTTCCTTCCTTCTTTACCACTCCTAGAAGTCCCATGAGTCCAGTTTTCTTAGCCCAAAGCCTTACAAGTTCCATAAAATGCAGATTCAGACCACTTCAGTCAGTTTCACATATGTATGCTTCAGTCTGGTTTTTGAGATCTCACACAATTCCCTTTAAACTATGAATGCACCTGTAAGCTAAGTCTGAATTATGGAAATTTTTCTGTTAATTTAATTCTGTACCTTATATAAGCAGCCTAATTATTCAGATTGTTTGTTGCCTAGGATCTAATTAATTCTCTGCTGAGATTGCTATACTCATAGTGCTAATTCTCAAACAGTGATTATCATGTATATTTTTGATTTGTGTTTATTCAGTTATTTAAAAATACCTGAAAAACAACTGTATGAATGTGAAATACTGGAAACAGCCTGCTAAGATGTGCTGTTGGCAAGATCCAAATAGCTCTTCTTATACTTTGGTGTCTCATACAGTGCTTCCAGATCTATCCAGAGGTGATAAAGATTACCTTTCTGGACTGTGGTTTCTAGAATTCCCTAGGCAGCATGTCCATGTGGCCACTGGCAGTGCTGGCTGGGAGATTCTTGGATACGTAGTCCAAAAAAAGTAACTTTTCACAAGCTATATGCAGAAATGTCCTAGAATGTCACCTTCCTTGATTCCAGGTTGTGTGCTGTCATGCACACTAGAGGAGAATGTGCACAACGGGCAAGATTGCAAGAGAATCTCTTGGCATAATTCCCTTCTGGCAAAAAATGGAAAAGGAGTACAGACTCCTTAGTAGACTGTGCCATTTGAACTGATCTCCATTAGTCATATGGCCAAGCAGCAACTTGCAAAGAATAAAGCCCATCACAATTTTAAGCAGGCACAGACAGCACCAAATGACCCTTCCTGACTCTGCAGGTGGAGCTCGTGCAGATAATCCCTGATTCACTTTCACATTCTCCAGCATTAACCTGAAATATTAAATGGCATAAGTTGATCTACATATACAGTATATGATTTTTTTTGTAAATTTCCAGATTCACAAAGGATAGTATACAAAGTCTTAAGTTTCATAACTTCTTAGAAACATGTGCAGTGAAAGTGCTTAAAACTGACCCTGAGAATCTCTGTTTTCAGTACACCAAGTGAAAAGCTCTTGGGCCGTCTAGTGAAAGAAAAGGTAATGCTGTTTTAACTTTGCTAACTCCTTAAAATAGCAGTAATATATCCCTTTTAAAAATCGGATCTGAGCACCCATGCTTGCCATACAAAATGACTGCATCCATTTATGTGTGCCCTTTTTGCATAATATTAAAAGCATTGATTTAGAGCCAATATGGAGCTAATTTAAATACTCTAGGCATGCTGTAATTAATGGTCAACTGTGTGTATCTTGAGCTGCAATATCAACAGCTGCAAGGTGTTTTAAAAACCTCCTTTTTATTATGTGGTTTTCTGCAGTACGACACAGACTTCTATATTCTCGACAAATATCCGCTGGCTGTAAGACCATTTTATACAATGCCAGATCCAGCAAATGCTGTAAGTAAAGTTCTGTATTTCATGCTGCTTTGAAGTGTCAATATGGAAGAGCCTGGCATGAAGTATATGCGTCAGCTGTTCCAGAAACACATGGCAGCCAGTTTGCTGTCGGGTTTTAAGTAAGCGTGGCTGAATCTCATTCTAACTTCTTTATTCTGTGCTTATTCTCCTGTAGCTCTGTTTTAGCAAATTTACAGAATACAGCTGAATCCCTGAGGCACTTCTGGGATTGACTTGCACTGTGTGAAAGTAGTCTGCTTTGATTCTGTGGATTGCTGCACTGAGGCAGCAGCTTACAGAGCCAAGCGTACTATTTTTGTTACCCATCGTGCTTGTCTTCTCATGACGTTATTGTTCCTTCACTTACTGTGTGGTGGTGTTCTAGGACGGGGTCTCCAAACATTTGAGCGTAGGGGCCACATCGTATATCTTCCACATTTTTTAGGGCTGAAGGAACGTGCACACACAACTGCATGCATAACTGCACGCGAGTTTGCCCACACACCCGCCCGCACGTGCTGAAGGGGATCAGGCCGGATAAAATGGCAAGGTGGGCCATAGTTTGGAGACCCCTGTTCTAGGATATAACATGAGTGGGCATATGAATGGGGAGAGGCTGGGCACAGTAGTGCTGCCATGCATTGGGAGATTGCTTGAGAGAACTGGAACAAAGCTGAACGTCTCTCTGCCACTAGCAAGTAAAATTCAACTTTTATTGGTATGATACAAGGTACTATTTAAGCCAGGGGTGTCCAACTTTTCACCTTCTCTGGGCCACATTAGAAGATGAAAATTTGGTTTGGGCCGCATGGGGGTGCAGCCCTAGCCATCCTCCGCAGCCCTGCTCCAAGCGCGCTTACTGGCAGCTGCAATCTCAAACCGCAGAGGCTGCCAGCTTCGACTCCAGCGGCTTTATGGGGCCGGGAGGGGGTCCACCTATTGATGGGGATGGCGCAATGCAGTCACGCAGCCCCCCTCTCCCCTCCCCTCCTGCTCCTTCCTTCCCTCTCTCCCCCTCTACCGTTGTGACGTGCCCCAGCTGCATTCCGGCCACAAGCACCGGCAGTGTAACTTGAAACTATGGAATTTCTTTAAAAATAAAAAATGCACTGGGCCGCATTATGAGCCGACCTGGGCCGCATGTGGCCCTTGGGCCGCAGGTTGGACAAGCCTGATTTAAGCTGTAGCAGATTTGTCGTCTCAGACTGCCAGTGATCTTCCAAAATAAACCAAGCGGTATGAACTTGCCAAATAAAAATATTTTAAATGCTTTATGGGGAGGGCATCTTCAGTATGTTTTTCAACTTTTTTTTGCTATTTATTGCTGATTTTTACACCCCTTGTGTTGCTTCTTATTTAAGATTTTCTGAATTTGCTTGGTCCTAGTCAATGTTCGCTCTAATTTCTCGCAAGCACTGGGTGGTGCCCCCACCCCTTGCATGCAGTGTTCCAGCCATGACCAGAAGAAAATGGGCAGCAACAGTGGCTCAGCTGTGCGCCACCAGTGCAGAGCTGCGATGCAGCGCTGTGCAACCACATGGCTGAGAAGGAATGTTGGTCCTAGTTCCACTCATCCCCACCTATTCTGAACCTAAATCCAATAGCTATTATCCACTTACAGTAGACCCATTTAATTAGTTGAATAATAAATCAATATATAAATCTCACTGATGTAATTAATCTAATCTATTTGGAACTAGCTCTTGGATTGAGGCCCTGTGGAAGCATCACTACTTGATTTCCATGTCTCTGTTTGAAGCCAAGTCTAGTTTCAGATTCACATCTACCAGCCACAAGTTTTCAGACTGTTTATTTACCACGTATTAAGCTGCAACCTCTGTTTTCAGAAAACCTCCAACTCTTATGATATGTTCATGAGAGGAGAAGAGATACTGTCCGGAGCTCAGCGAATTCATGACCCACAACTTCTGACTGAAAGGGCCCTGCATCATGGCATTGGTAATACTTCATTTCTCGTTTCTCACTGAGGGGATTTTCTATTACAGTTTGTTGACTTCCAAAGTCCTTGTGACTAGGATTTGAGCTGCAGGTGTTAAAAGCTGGAATTGGAGGTTTTGATTCTTTGAATATACATGTGAATAAAAGTGATATTGTCCATATACTATCCTGACTTGAAAGATGACATGGCCTGCCTAAGACAAACAACAACAAGCAGAGCACAAGTTGCTGTCCTCTGAAGATGCGGGCCACAGAGACTGGCGAAATGTCAGGAAGAACAACCTTCAGAACACAGCGAAAGAGCCCGAAAAACCCACAACAACCACCAACAAGCATTCATCAAACTACTCCCCCCCCCCGCAAATACATAACAACATTTTAACAGAATTTCAGCCACAGGCAGCATTTCTAAGTAAATTGTTCCAGGGAATTGTCTTTAGGTCAGACATTTCTGTTCTATAGAAAGTGCATGTCTGTCTCAATATGGTTATTGTTCAACCTCATCTATCCAAAAGCTCAAGGGGTCATCAAACATGTCAAGATAAGTGGGAATGATTTATTGGTTTATGCTCCCACATGAGCTTATGTGCTGAGGTTACACAACTGTGGACATAGATACACATAAATCCTGTGTAGCATGGGTTACACAGGAAAAATGAATGTGGGCCCTGTGCACGTTTTGCCCTTTAGCAAAGCAGGGAATACACGGCCCTCAGAAGCTGTTGGACTGCAACACTCATCAACCCTAGCCAACATAGCCACTGGTGGGGGCCAATGGAATTCCAGCAACATCTGGAAAGCCACACATACCTCATATTTCCCCTATAGTGATATTCTCTTCTGTGTTCTTTAGGGCAGCGGTCCCCAACCTTTTTAACTCCACAGACTGGTTGGGGAAGGCGGAGCACCACCACCCCCCGCACTTGCGCGCATGCACGAACAAGCAGACACACGCTGGTGCAGGGGTGCGCACACTCGCACGCATGTGTGAAGAAGAAGGCACACGCAGGCACAAAGGGTGGGGGACACTCACAAAGGGGAGTTGCTTGCGCGGGCGCATATGCGCAAAGGACAGGAGTGGGGGTGGGTGGGAGATCTATATCTGCGGCCGGGTCCAGCCCAGACCATGGACCGGCACCTGCTTGTAAGGTTGGGGACCCCTGCTATAGGGGAGATTCTGCTTTTAATCTGGAGTGGATGCACAACTTTTGTGTGCATCCTCTCTACAGCACTCAGCTGCCTGGCTGTGGCTGCAGCTCTGGCAACAAAATCCCGGGACTGCACAGTGCAAATGAAGGCACACCTTTCCACCATTCTTTTGTTTTTCTTCTTAAACTTTTTTGGTAGGATGGGTGTGCTGTTCCATAGCAAAATTCCATATGCTCCCCCAGCACCTTTTCTCATTCGTTTCATTTTCATTTCATTTTATTATTTATATCCTGCCTTTCTCTCCAAGAGGACCCATGGCAGTTTACAGTGTTAAAACAGGGAATGTAAATTCTACAAAAACATTGCTAACAGTAATAATTTTAATTAATACATTCTTAATTTCTTAATATTTTTAATTAATACATTCTTAATTTCTTAATCCCAGAATGTCCATGGAGAACTTTGTATAATCTGGAGAGTCACTATAGGAAATTAACATGGGAAGTGTGGTTGTTTTGACCTTTGTTCCACAGTGGCCCATATAACCATCATATGAAAAATTAAAAAGAAAAAGATAATGGTGGTGGCTGTTACCACTGATGACCAAATAAACTGGTGGACAATGGGATAGGATTGAGCAAGTCCCTCTTTCTTTCTTTCTTGTAATATTTATTTATTTATTTTATATCCTGCCTATCTGGTCTTTCGACCACTCTTCAGACATATTAATTAATAATGATTGAGATACGCTGATAGGAAGTTGAAACTGATGTTCTCAACCACCTGTATAAAGTATTCTGAATGAAAAGAAGTGAGACTTCTCAGTCCCTTCCTGCGACCTGGTAAGCAGGGTGAGTAGGGCAGCGGTCGAATTAAGAGATGGCCCTTCTCCTCCCTTGAGGGATTCTGACTCCAGGAACAAAAAAAAAAGCCCCTCTCTAATTCCACCCACTATCCACCCGATTTACCAGGCAGGAAAAAGGGATCAAATAGATCCTTTCTTGTTTCTATGTTATTTGTTTGATACTGTAGTTTGTTTGTAAGGTATGCATGCATCAGTTAAAGAAGTTTAAAAACTAACAGGGTTAAAAGGGAATTGAATGCTACCACTTAATTTGTGCAAAAAAAAACAACAACAGCACCTTGGCTTTCTGAGGATGAGTCCTTTTTGATAATATTTGTTCTTTAAGCTGTACTTGGATGTCTACAGACACACATACACACACCACTGTTACTGAGAATTTGGCCTGAACTAACGTAAAGTATTTCCTTTTCAGATTTGGAGAAAATCAAATCTTATATAGACTCCTTTCGTTTTGGAGCACCTCCCCATGCTGGTGGTGGCATAGGTAATATAGTTTATCTTCTTTGAGTTCTGTTCTAGCCCTTATTTTAGGTCGGATGTAAGGGCAATGTACCGTGTTTCCCGGAAAATAAGAGAGGGTCTTATATTAATTTTTGCTCCAAAAAACGCATTAGGGCTTATTTTCAGGGGATGTTTTATTTTACAGTCATGTCATCTTCTGGTTGCTGCACAATGGTAGAGGGAGGGGTTTCACTTAACTGAGGCTTATTTTTGAGGTACAGCTTATATTATGAGTTTCCTAAAACTCATACTACAGTGGGGTCTTGACTTGCGAACTTAATCCGTATTGGAAGGCAGTTCGCAAGTCAAAAAGTTCGCAGGTCAAAATCTGCATTCCCATAGGAATGCATTGAAAACCATTTGATCCGTATCTGCTCTCCATAGGGCGGTGCGGGACCCTGAGGAAGGGAAGGGAAGGGGTGCCGTCAGTCAGGGCATTCATTACCTCAGGTCCCGCCGGCGGCCCACAGGTCCCAGCGGTGGCGGCGGCCTTGGTGAGAGGAGAAGGGAAGGCACCGGAGAGCATCCGCCCTCGCACGGGGAAGCCGAGCCGCTCCCACTCCCGTGGCCCTCGGC